CCCCCCCCCCTCCGAAAATCAGTCATACCATGTAACTCCACCAAAGTCATAAAAAGCGTCATCGCAATAAAAGAATTTAATCAATACAGATCTTCATATTGTCCAGAAAAGTGAGAGGTATTGTATGCGAAGAAGACACTGGAATACTAGATAAAGTAGATTCATTATGCTTTCGAAATAAAACCCTCGGTGTATCGAGTTTGTTACTTCTTCCCAAACCCACTTCATTCCTTGTCAGACTAATTGAGATGGTCTGGCGTGATCACAACTTCACTGCAATACCATGGCTAAGGATGAGAGGCGTGGTAACTTGTGTATCGAAGCTCATGGTGAAAACTATCAACATTTGTATAAAACAATTGAATATTCAGTATGCATAGTCTGTATATTCCGTAGATTCTGCCTTTCCTACTCTTAAATCAACACACAACCATAATTTACTTCTCTGCATTCCCACTGGAAAATAAAAACACCTCATCAACAGGATTTAGGGAATCTCTGAGCATCAATAAACGTTTTCCAGCATCCTACTTTTGAAAAAAGCACTGCGTACCAGGATTAAATGATAATGCTTTTGAACAATAGTATTTTCCACTCTACTCTAAGTTCCAAGATAATTAGAATTGTATTATTCAATACGTATTCGACAGAAAAAAACCTAGTTACTTACGTGATCCTTCTTGTTTTCCTGAGTGAATTCATCCTAAAGGGTAAAGGTGAGCAGAATATTAGTGCGAAGTCAAGTGAGGAGGGACAATGAATGCCATCGTTCCAAACTCAATAAACAACACAGGTGGATAAATAAATAAACCACTTGCACCCACCAGAGCACACTTGAGTGAACATGCATAGCGTTCGAAAAGCATTTCTTCTAAAAATTTGAATGACTAAATGCTGCACAAACCTAACCGAAGATAAAGTCACAAAAAATGATAAATAGGCACTGAAAAAAAGCACTTTTTTCCAATTTAATGCATCAGATGATAAAGAAGCAGGAAAGTGCAAAAGTGCAGCAAACAAGTCACAACAGCAATAACGACAATGTGATCCCAAAGTAAAATGGAGAGGTGTTGGACTAGTTATGACTACAGGGGGACAACGCCAAAGAGCGTAACATGCTGACCTCTGTATCACGGACAAATTCAAGGCTTGCAAGCCAGTCCTCTGATGATTGACTAAGTTCTGACTGTTCAGAGGAGGTCTCAATCGATTCCAGGCTGTCGTATTCATCGTCATATACGTCAACTTCTTCAAAGAAACATTTCATCAATACGATGGGAATTGTAATCTCCACAATAACCGGACGTGCCGTTTGAGAGACAAAATAGTCAACATTCGCACAAGGTAATATTTCTTCAAACATTTCGGGTTTAGAAATATGCTCACAAATCTCAGAAGGATTCTTTTCAGTACTTTGAAGTAATTCTACAAAAGCATCTGATATGACTTCATCCACAAAGACTTCAATCCCAATAGCAAAATCAATCAACTCATCGACTAGTTGGTTAGCAACTAATTGAGGTGATTGTAGCGTAGTTCCACCCCAAAGGTGTTTATTTCTACTAGTTACTGCGGATCGGTAGAATGGATGAGAACGCATAAGAGGTATATATCCGGCAACCATGCACGCCACCGGATTTATCAGTAAACCAACAGCCTGCAGATTCACAACATAAATATAATGTTCATGCAAAAAAATGGTTAGTAAGGGAGAGGGGATCGATTGAATAGAAATGTATAATTAGATAACTGACAAAAGTAAAATCGAGTTTCTACTTAAATGATATAAGTGGACATAACTTTACCTGAAGGATTACAGACTCATCATCAGTGGAGTTTACAACCGCCGTAAATTGTGGAGAGGACATACTAAAAGGCGGAGGAGGCATACTGATAGGAACAGTGAACATTTTCGAGACTCCAATCATAGTGTAGCCAAGGGGGACATTAGTGAGAGCATTTGCAGCCTCGCCAATCGAGGCACGAGTAAGTTTCTTGTCATTGACAAAAAGTAGCCTATCGCCAACTTTTATACGGCCATCCAAGTCGACACACCCACCCTTGACGATTTCGTTGATTATGATGAGACTATTTCGACTACTTCGAGAAAGTGTTTCAGCTGAAACGGATTGACTTCGACCGATAGTTGAATAGCGACTACCCGGAGATGATAAATTAGTAGAGATTGTGGAGCGACGACGAAGAGACATGGCTCGTTTTAGCGTGCTAGTCCGACTAACAGTGCTTGAACCGTCGAGTAGAGACTAGAAATAATTGAAAAAAAGCAATGAATAAAGTTCACAACAGAATTAATAATCTAGTGAAACTAAAGACAGAAAGCAGGGCAATAGATGCGAATCAAAATTTTCCAAATCAGAATGAGCCAAATAAAGCATGTAACCTGTGGATGTTTCCCTAATTATAGTAGGTTTATCATTCAATAATCTTGATTCAAATCAGACCCAAGGTTTCGCTTGTACAATAATAACATTTCCCAAGCCCACTTAGAGTAGAATGACAGCGTAAAGCCTCTATGGACTCTACCAACCTCTGTATTAGCCAGAATTAACCGCCCAGTATGAGTATGATGAGGGGAGTTGAACCTGTGACCACTGGCATGGCAACGGGTTAAGATTAAAAATACTTCTGACTAAATAACTGCTATTCCGCACGCTTTCATAAAAACACACTCTTGTTCACACGGAGAAGTAAAATAGTTAGGTAGGAATGCCATCTAAAAGCTAGGAATGGTTGGATGGATATTGGTAGGGGGATGAGAGGGGGAATAAAAGTAATCCCACACATTAGTATGAAACTATTTATGTCATTAATAGAAAGCGTCACAGAAGACTTTTCGTCCTCAGGAGATAATTCCGAAAATTCTGTGAATAGTTATAATTTATTCGTAATTAAGCTATTTAATGTGTATAAGTCATCTGTCTTCTCCCAAATGCAGCAGCATAACTCCTGTGAACATGAATCACGAACAGAATGGTGGAAAATATGATGGCGATGACTACTCACCACTATATTAGTGTAATGTCCGCTATTTAAAAACTTTTCCAGCAATAACTCACCGTCTGCACAAAGAGAAAACATCATTCAACAAATTAACAACCTCTCGCAAGATACACCATCATATTAATTCGGTTTAACTAATATAGACAAAGCTTCAACAAAGCTCTCACCTACTTTTAAATGGCTTAAGTTCAAATATATGATGAATGACACTCTTTCTATTTAAACCAGCCATATTCCGAAAAACGGCCAAATTGAAAGAGCGGTTCGAGAAATGAATGAGTGAATTGTTTAATTAGTAGCTAAACTTTTATCCATCAATATTTCAATCAGATAAGAAAATTCTATAAATCGTTCAAAGTAGGGCTTGATACATGCAGTCAACTTAATGAAAATACAAAAATCGGTGATGGAAATATTTGGATTCAGAGAGATAGAATATAAAAACAAGTGCTAATCATTTAAAGCAAAATTTGTCAGCATCACTTTAAGTATAATGTGTAAATAAGAGCACTAAAAGTGGCATACTTTAAAGGTCTGAAATTCATAAAAAGAATTCATTAGCCAATTAAATCAATAAGTAAGGCAATACAAAAATAAAAAATCGCTAAAGTGCAAAACATCTTCGGTTGGGAAATATTAAAAAAAAGCTTTAAACGACAAATTGAATTGGACATATGCAAAATAAAAAAAAGGATGGAACCAAAATGCAATCAGTAGTTTAGTTGGGGAATTATGGTACAGTTGCAATTGGCATAAAGCATACCTTTCTTTTCCGAAGTATCTTCGAAAGGTAATGAAAATTAGTCCCATGACAAAACAAACACAGAAATAGCATTTATACTTATATTTTGTAAGTAGTGATCAGCTTACCTCATCATAGGAGGATATAGAGAACCCGAATCCAGGTTTATTTCTTTTCAGCATGATAATGAGAGGAACGGGCGACCAAACAGGTTTATGGGTAATGTTTTCACCGATCAGTGTAGATGCCGAAGGGTAGGCCTCACTATTCACTGGAGATATCATTTCTTGTCGCTAAAATTTTAAATTTAATAAGATAAAAAATTTAGGCCTGGATAAGCCACTGATAAATGAAATATGTACCCTTGTAAGAGTGCCATTGTGTCCAACCATGCTCATATCACGCTGGGATCCCCTAATCCATTCAGAAACCTTTGAATCTGGCGGATGAATAGGGAGACTGACAGGCGAAAACCCCGCATAAGTAGATGCACTTCCATCGTAGGAATCATCAAAGAAACTACCCGTGGCAACGGAACCGACTTCACTGGCGGCGACATGCAACGTGGTGCCTGTCTCATCCAAACAAGTAGAAGCCCCATCAGGAACATCTCCATTAACTCCTTCAAAAGTTTGAAGGGGTCGGGCAATTACCAACTCAATGTGAGCTGGAAGACAACGAAGACATCGAACTACTTCAACGTGTGATCGACCATGCAGACGGTAACCATTTACCTAGGGGTAATAACGGAAGAAATTGTATATCAGTTAATAAAACGTAAAATCAAAATAGCCTTCCAGTAATACTGAAAAATAAATAGTGATATTGCATATCAAAATATAAAAAAACGGGAAAAATCGCTGTTTTTATTAGTTGAAAGTGACTTCTTTAAACGACAAAGACTCCCCAATTGTAACTACTTTATTATCCCAAAGGGTTGAGCTCAATCGATATAGTCTAGTTTGTTAATATTCCGCTTGCAAAATCCTTCATGCAAACATATTGCATTTTCCTAACTGATCGAATAGACGTATTTAAACTATCATCCGGGTTCAAACTTTGGGCAAATTCGAGAAAGCTAATAAGCGACTCTGGGATAGAGGCTTAAGCATTCTAGGCTTTACGGTTAGCAGATTTACACTGTGGACGTCAGAGTTAGCTATAGGAAACTGACCTTAAAGAACATGCCATTTGGCCAAGTGTGTTTATTAAAGCGCAAAATGTACTTAAAAATAGAAGTTTATTTTAGTCAAAATCAATTTTAAAGGTCGTGTTTTGATCCTCCAATTAGCCAAAAACTTGGAAACGCTGTAGACATACTAAATCATTTAATTTGAATTAACAGTGATACATATATGGCTAAGATTAGGATGGACAATATGTTCCTAATTGACTTATTTAAGCGGCCGTTTTATAGAAGACAAGATTTTACTTACCCGAGAAGCATTGGTCAGTCAACATTTTTAAGAAATTACGAACAGCATGAAAGGATATCGTATTCATTTAAGGAAAGGGAATAATACTGTGACGATTTAACAGGAATCTGGATTTGCACCAACATTGCAATGTATTTGAAGTTGTAAATACACCAGCCAGAACTAGATGGGCAGGTATTATATTGTGCCAATTTACAACTGATTATAACTACAAACTAAACAAAGTTGACAAAGGGGGGGGGGTGAATCATGTTCAAGTAGCTGTGTCTCAAGTGGTCCAACAAAGAGAGCCCGAATACGCACACTGGTCATTACAACTTCAAGAAGTTTAGTTATCAAGGTGACTGGGGACAAATGCACAAATGTCAGTTTTCCAGAATGAAAAACTGGCAATTATTCACATTTTCTATTTCCAAAGCAAGTTCTACGACGAAAGTGCAGTAATGGAGAGTAATGGAAAACTTCTTCCCAATTAAAGGATAGTTACCTAGTATCAGACGAAGGCCGAGCACTTATTGATTGCAGAAAAGTTTTCTATAACAATCAATATACTTCTCTCTTTCTGTCTGTAACATGCCCTTGCAGAGATAAAGAGTAAAAACAATCAAGGAAACAATATTTAGAAGGATGGCAGTCAAAAGGCGGCGGCTCTTGGTGAACAAAGAAAACCAAAAACTGCAGGAATTTATGTGTATGAAAGCAAAGTTTAGTCAAGTCAAGTCAGCGCCACTTAAAAGTGCTCGATATGCTAATAAGTAAATTCATGAGAATTTTCAGCGCTCTACAACCAAGAAACACCATAGATATGAATGCCATCACACTTTGCTTTCATCCTCCTCCTCCTCCACGTTTCTGGCATTAAATTTCAACTCGATGGGAGATTTCAATCCAAAAGAACAAAAAACAGAAACAAGAATTAGGCAAATTTATTGTGCAAAAGTAATTTCCTCGATAGCTTCTAGTTCTGTTCAAAGATCGAACATCTTTACTGATTATAATAAAGGGTGAGTGCTGCCTTAAATATAATTGCATTTTAGGATTTGTAGGCGTTTAATTATTCAAGAATGGGCTAATACATTATCACTCTGTGAAATATGGAAAACAGTTAAATGAGGGCAAAGATGGTGGCACATTAGTAAAGAAACACACACTTAAGCACGTAGAAAAATGACGAAGAAGTGTCATATTTGACAACACAAATGTCCAAGAACTTAAAAAAAAACAAAAAAGAAAGCAAGCATACAATTACACTCCTTCCGCAATTACTTCACAGTCAACCTGTAGATTCGTATCACTATTGTCAACTATAAATAAAATATATACTAAAAAGCCTCCAGTTGAATAGGTGACTAATCTATCATATGTGTCGGTGGCGCAAAGGCCACAAGTTCGATTCCCATCGGCGCACAGTCGGTGAGAGTAATGACTTATGGCACTGGTTAAGTCTAGCACAGACGCCATCCTTTACCTAAGATGAGAGTTTGAAAATGAGCTCCAAAATGGACCCAGAAATTATTGCTATTATTAATATTAACTTATATATAAACCCATGGAATGTTTAAGCAGGATTAACTGACAGGGAGAAAAATATCTTTTTTAACAAACCGTAGGTTATGAAAATTCGATAGGTTTTAAGAAGTTAATAGGAAACATAGCAATAGTAAAACCGTAAGATGGGATGAAAGCTAAGTCAACTTGGATAAAAAAACGAGGGCACCTGGACCATTCGATACTTGGCTGTCATTTACAACCCACATATATTAAGACCTGCGCTGTTCAAATACTTTTGAGGAGCATATTCAAATCGATTCAAGCTGAGTAAGTCTCCTCGATCTTATACCTGTAGCGACCAAACATATAAGAGAAAATCACAAACAGCACGAAACAAATCTCATTCCCCTCTTCCTTATTTACTCAAACTATACACAATCGCCAAAGTTGATAACATTAGCAGATTGAAATATTAATCGGGAGAAATTAGGCTAACCGAGTAATTTTGCAATTGCATTCATGACATAAATTTATTTCGATGCGTAAATTACCTATTTCAATCACATCCAAGTGAGCGATATTTAGCAAGCAGATAAGGGGGATAGGAGAGCGCGTGAGAGGGGGAGGGGGAAAGAGACCATTGAGGTCATCATGTGTCTGAATGATAGCCAAACAGGGGCTGTGATTTCGAAAGATGTATAACTAATGAAGAGAGATTATCGTTCGTTTAAAAACTCCCAAACAATTTAATTAATGCACAAAATTAAGAGATACATTGCAACGTTATATATGCTAATTTTAGAATTATTGGTCCGAGAGGCAAATCGATAAATAGATAGCAATTAATAATGATAATAGCTGAGCTAGACGACGTATAACTAAGTAATTATAAACACATATAATTAAAAGTACAAAAAGACCACTTAGACAGCTTGCAAGCAGAACAAATTGGAAGCCAAAGGTCAAGATAGCTTACAAGCCAGAAAACTGAAAGATGGTCAAAACAATTATAGAAAATAGAAGTCTGGATTTGAAGAGGCAGAGGGCTTGAACAGATGACGAAAGAATGGTGCCTTATAATAAGTCTCAGTAAATAACTAAGATACTTCTTAATAATAATTTTACAGACTTTGCCTTTTTCTTAATTGTCTTGATGACTATATTCACGACGATGACTTAAGAAACTAACCACCCCACGTTTAAAAAAACTTTCCAGACTAAAAACTCAGCCACTGATACCATGCAGTTGAAATTTTGACTACTATATAGAAAGAGTAAACATTATTGGTGTCCTTATAAACAAGGGACTCATTCAGCGCAAACTGATTGGATAACAAATGCGAATTTTCGGAAACAGCCGAAATATGCACCATATAAAAGCAACTACTTCCTTCGTGTTATTCTGAGAATTTCTCTAATGAATCAGCTAAAGGTCAACGACGACTAGTTGCCCTGCACAGTTAGGGGCACAAGTGAATCACACTACACTACATAAAGGTGGGTGATTTAAGAAAGGTCAAAAATCGAAATGTATATTGGAATAACAAAGGGAAGCATAACTGAGTATTTTTAATTCCAGCATCGAATTCATTACTAGGGTACGTTTTTTGGAAACAGTTCTTTCACACTCATGATTACAATATTCCCATTGTCGAAATATATACTAACCAGGCGATCAATCAATCCCCACATTCAAACAATGCATTGAAAAGTCGAGTTACGAATCTTCTGCCCTCTATCCACTGAACCCGAACTAATATAGCAACAACATACTTCAATGATCACACAGTCCACAAACCTCGGTGATTGGAACTAGGACAACAGATAACACTATTAAGAAAAAAACTTAGATTCGGTTACGTATAATGGGGATCGAGATATTACTGCAGACATTTTCAAGTCAATAGGGAGAAAGTAATTTCCACGTGAATAGAGGTGGGCCATAGTGGAGAATTAAATAGGCTAAATAGCATTCACTGCGTGTAAACCTACTGACCTACATATCTCGTGACAACCGAACATGCACCAATATGACAACTAATTTCGGAATTCCACGGCCAATCAGTCCCAAACATCCATGTTCAAAAGTAATTAAACCTCTTAAATGATCAAACAGTCGTTTCCATTTCAGATCTTCGCCCATCTTTCTTAGTGAACCTGAGCACTGCGAGTACAGCAATGACATACTAGGTTAAAATATGAAACACATATTGTGAGGTGGTCAATTGAGAAAGAAACATATAAAGAGGAATTGCGGATGTAGTCAAGGTTAATAGTGATGGATCTACATTTCAACACATCAATTGTCAAGTTCGGGCATTCTCTAACGGAAAAATCGCATTAACCTTTCATTCTGTGGATCAGTACTAGTCAAATGGATTCGATGTCACAATCGCGGCATGTGAACCGATTGACTTACATAGCTTGTGACAACTGGCAACAATGTATTAATGTGCTAACTCATTTCATGAAAACTATAAAATTTTATGAGGAGAGAGTTGATGTGCTACGAGGAGGCATCTGTGATAATCGGTAGAAGTGCGGCTAAAAACCCACGTAATCGTGTCATTTTCAATGAGTTGAGTTAATTTGGATTAATTCTAACCAACCACCCTCCTAAGAGTAAATTCCTAATTTAAAATCATTTCTTTGTCAACCTAGTATATACAGGTATAATTTATACGATTGAATGAAGTAAATGGTTAATGAATGGTTAGGATCATCTGCTAACCGAACGATTAATAAACCAAGCGTTTTAGTTAATACAAGGGGAGCAATTTAAAGACCAAGCTAACCGATTCTCAATCAGTTTGCGAGGCAACTGTCTCCTTTTAAGTAATCAACACACATTGATCGTTTGAAACTGAAATGGATACGTGACACTAAACTAGCCACCATTCGTTACAGCATAGTTATCAACACTGATTTCGAACAGCAGGCACGGATACACACAGAACAAGGTAGTGTATGTTTACACTAACGTAAGTACGTGCATGTGTTAATGTATGTTCCAATTAAAATATAAATCATTCAGCTTTCAATTGAGAGAAGTCGATAAAGATTCTAGTGTATATAAATAATAAATGTCACTTAAAAATTCAAAATCACGGACCTGCAGTAGTTCATCCCCAGGTCTCAGATAATCACAAGATGAAAATAATCCACCCGGAAGAACGGTGTGAACAAAGTGTCGTGAAGGAGATTCATCAGAAATTTCTAGATCAGGTTCTTGGCCTTCATGAGTAGGTTCCTCTCCTTCACCTGGAAGAACAGCAGTAGATGTCGAAGCAACCGCTTTCTTGAGACGGGGTTCAGTAGTTGAGCCAATGAGAGAAATACCCAATTGACGGACATTCTTTGGACGTATAACTCGAAAGACCTAAAAGCGAAACGAACTACTTATTCATGATTTAAGTAGCTAAAGAGACAGTAAATGGAAAAGTCTAGAGACTAAAATTAAAACGAATAACTGCCTAAAGTAAAATCGTATACACGCACAGAGAGCCAAAAACACAAGTCCAATTTGTTTATGCCACAAAAACACAGGTTAACACGAGCACAGGGCTTTTTATCTCAACTGCTAAGTACGCTTAACGGTCATATTTAATCAAAGGTGTTTCCGCATGTTGGCCGTTTACAAGCTGAGGGAAATAAGGCTGATGGATAAACCTTAGTTTAACGTTCTTGCATGATTAATTGAGACTCCGGTACTTTCTAAGTACCGGGTTTTAAGCCAACTCTAAACACACTGAGATTGAATTATATTGACTTTCAAAACGGGAACATAAGACCACAGCTTGGCACACTACAACTAAGCCCACATATTTAAGAAAAATACGTTCTCCAACAGCTACAAGTAGAATTTGAGAATGTCACTAAGCAACTCTTGAGAATTAAGTTCAATTGATGACTATGTGGCGTACTTTTAGAAACCATCGATATATAAGAGATATTTAAAAATAGCTTTCTTTGAAGTGCAAAATTGTTAGTGTCCAATTGAAGACAACAGAAAGAATAACTAAAATTGCAATTTGATTTGGAAATCTCACCATTTGCCTAAAGCCTTTGGAAGCAATGTGACTAAATGAACCAGTGCTTAGAAGTAGCAAATGTTAGTTGGAGAACAATAACCTAAGCTAATGCACTTTCAAATTCACAAACTTCGCTACAAGATAGAAATGAGTCAGCGGCAAAAGAGCGAGCAACCTTAAAACAAGTTTAAAAAGTGATTAAACGAGGAGGGGATGGTAAAAAGCACAAAATAGGTGCTAGCGTAGCAAATCGATAAAATGGTAAAAGACAAAAGGATAAGAAATTTATAAACCGGACGAAAGTAGATAAGCAAATCATCAATCAGTATGATAAAGACTAACATTGACTGGATTTTATACCAATAACCGATTCCTTTATCCTAAACAATATCGAAGCTCTTGACAGAACCAAAGATTCAAATGCTTTACAGCGGTGAGACTTTGAAAATACTATGAATAGACGATGAAAATGATATTGCAAAGATATATCAAATATATCCAGGGAAATAAAACAATTTTTGTGCAAAATTGAGACTAAATTGCCCCTCTATCTTACCAGCACATCTAATGCTGTCGTTTCTAATACGTCTAGTAGAAACCCCCCCCCCCCCACCCCATCTCCTCTATCATAATTATCTCCTATGGTGCTTTCTATGGCACTCATACACCAGACCTAGGGTAAAAGTGACAAACCTCACGCACTTTATGTTATCTCCCATGCCAAAAGTATAACAACCTAAGATATCTCGAAACATTAACGTTTGTAGGAACGCCTTTTAACCAATCGATATGATTTGTGCAACAAAAATAACTTACAAAGCTTCAATTTGAAGATAGTATTTGAAATGGGCAATTAGCATATTAATTCATTAAGGAATGAACAGGGGGGGGGGGGCCAAATAGGTGTGCATAGCTCGCAAAGCGTTCCACATGTCAAAAAAGTGAAAAGCACATTGATAGACTGAACCAAGACTTCGTAATTAAATGAGGTACACGAAACAATTACAAAATTTATTACTAACCATATATGGAAACCATACTAATAATAAATGACATAACAAAAATTGGGGACATAATAAACTGAAACGAAATTAAAAATTAAATATATGTACCACTAAGTTAACAATAATTTGACAAACAAAAATGTAATGACAAATTGGGGGATCATAATGAGCTTTCACTAAACTCATGAGGCGAAACTACTCAATAATTAATAATGAGTAATTACAATAATATCGAAAACAAAATTGCCCCAATTCGAAAAGTAACCAACCCAATTGCATAACGACATAGGAAATAGAAAAAAGGAGTATTAACACTGTAACCCTCTAAAAAACACTTTATATTCGATAAAAGATGATCTGAAACCGATATTGAGAGTCGACTTACTCCGATTTCTTTACCAGGCCCAATGATCGGTTGCCAAACGGCTGCCATCAGTTTTAATAAATCAGTGTTGACTCGTCCAGCTAAAAAGACAATAAAGTCACCATTACCAGAGTGAAATCAAATGCTTGAGCTTAAACTATGGCAAGGATCCACACACGAGTTGAATACTTCACGAAGTAGCTAGTAACTATCAAACCTATGAGAGCAAGCGGTGCTTTCCACAAAATGCCAAAAAAACAGCAATGGAATGTATGCGAAATTTCCACACATGCACCCTAGTTGAACAAAGATTTCGCCCCAAACAAAACCAAAACCGATTAATCAGCTTTGGCGCAGAACAACAGGAAGAGAACAAGGTTCCCTAAGGCTCCATTTTTCAAAAAGAGAGATTCGTATTGATAAAAAAGATGAAAAAAGTTACCGAATGTACTCTCAGGCATAGTTAAAAGACCATGCACTTGTTTAAAAGACCCGTATTTGCATACGAATAAAACGTTCTAAATCTGAGATGCATAAAACGACCCAAGACAAACCGAACTATGACAAAGATGACTATCAGCAATCACTTCTACACGAATATTCATTTCAAAACATATTCATACCAGGAAAAAATCCCATGGCTATTTAAAATTGGCATATATAATTAACAATGAATTAGGAGATGAAATAAAATGAAGATATGAATAGCTAATAGACCTTTAATATAAACTTCAAATTGGTAAAAAAATCCTCATGAGATACACATAGAAAAATCACATTAATGCACTAAACAGTGTGATATTTGGAACCAGCAACTTACCAAAATATAGAAGAGAACGATCTTTAAACTTATTTTTGCCACGTGAGTTTGCAAAACTGATAATATTTGTAACATAGCGTGTCAATGACTTCTTCCTCGCCATGATAAAGTTTATAACTCCTTAATTGTGAAAACAACTTGTGAGATTCACCACTATCATAAATCAAACCTTAATGTGAGATACACTCCCACGATTGGCTAGATAAATGAGGTTTTAAAAGGGGTGCTTATTTTAGCTGATTAAAAGTAAATGCTAGATAATGCTTATTCTACACAAACAAAGAAATTAATAAATTTTTCATTAATACATATTTTAACTTCGTGAATTTTATTTATTAATAATATTTACAATTGTATTATATTTGATGTGGTACATCATTTTTACCGTAATGCACTGCAGCCCTTAGTTGGATAAGTTCATAAGATCCGACTGCCAAGCACTTATTCCTTCTAACAGGAGACTCTATTTCCATTTCGTCCATTTCGTCTAATGGAGAACTATTTAGAGTCATTGAAGCCGCTGTCGATGAGAATATTTCAGGATCTTCGTCGAGTGAATTTATTTGAAACCTATTATCTGCATAATCTCGGGTTGAAGTATTGGAAGAAGATATTGTTGTTGAATCTGATTCCATCAGGCTGGCGGATGTCAGCATTGGAAGGCTGTGGCATGTCGAAGGTCCCAGAGGATTACGAGATAAATCACGTGATTCTTCTGATTCCTCCTCCGAATTTACAAGAGGCCCTACAATTAATTCCCTTTGAGTAGGACAGACGCATAAAGGAACGTGCTTTTCAGTGTTTGGGCACAGTGCTCCGTAAGATTTAGAATCGGACAGTATTAAATTTCTTTGTGAGAAATGGTTTCTTCTTCTTCTAGATTTTCGACGGAAACCACGAGGCAGTGTAGACGAGGCCTGCCGGGAACGCGGATTTGAAGAAGAAACTAATAAGTTTAAAAATTGTTATTTACCAAGCTTATTCAATTTTCTCTTAACACCTCATATAGGGCAGTATAAAATTGTAAGTTTACTGATAATTTAATTTTTGTATTTAAATTTCTTAATAAATACTCACCCAATTGCTTAAGTTGCTCACATACACGGCCAGAAGTATGCCGGAGAAAGGTGAGTTGGACGACTGGGGCCGTTGTTTTTAGCAAATTTGCTGCAGCCTTGTTTGAAAGATGTTTCAAGTCAATTCCATTGACCTAGGAGGATGCAGATAGGTAAATGATAATTGACTACACCCCAGTAGAAATATGAACTATAGTGGTAGAACGACAGTTCTAACAAATTTTGCTATAGTTTCAGTACCTTGCATTACGATGATAAAATGATAATAATTTCTGAATTTCATATTGGATGTGCAACGCTAAGTTCAATAAAAATTTACTTTATTGATACACGATAAATGGAATATCTATTTTCACACTATCAACGAGTTCCTCCTATAGACCATTGTGATTTGGTTGAGAGTCTTCAAATCGAGGAAAGGACTGACTAATATTTCTGGACACAATGGATTTTGGAGTGCATTGATTGGCAAATATTGCTTGCGGATGTTATTAATGATACCACTGGGTAGAGTAGGCATAATGGATATAACCACAGGTCACTTTGAAGATGAAACCACAAGCATAAAATAACTAGTCAATTGGATGGGTACAGAAAAATTGCTCAGTGGAAAACCAAGGAATTCAAGTTTGAGAGCACATAATGGAATCTTCTCGAAAAATGAGTGCATGCGTTTGTTTAGCCTCATCGGCTTTTTTATATAAAAACTTTTGATACTATTCCCTCAGATTGGGAAGCGGGTAGCATGTATTGGACAGCCATAAGTACTGGTCGCCTAAGATAGTAAGCAAGAATGAGTTTATCTTAAATGTTGTTACATTGACCTTGACATCTTGAGGGCTTGACCTTAGTCAATATTGAAGTTATGGAGGAGGCAAAAGGACAATAACCCGCCTGAATCCTCGTGAAGGCATATTTGATTTGTCGAGATATTCCAATGATGTGAGTGAAATTCACTACTTTTACGCTAAGTCTGGCGTATAGGTGCAACTTCATTTCATCATTGGCCGCCTCAACAAGAGATGCTGTTGAAAGTACCATATTGGATAATGATGACAGAGGAGACGACATGTTTTAAGCTGACCTATGCGAAACGTCAGTGATAGATGCGTTGAAAAGATCAGGGGGTTATTTAGCCCGAATTTCTGCAGAAGGAGTTTTCGTTTCCGTGGATACTCTCTTAATCACGTTGCAAAGAATCATAAAATTCTCCGCTTACTGAGCAACCAAAGACTTCATGTTTTCGCCATTTTACAGTTGTCGGAGATGAAGAGTAGTGAGTCCTCCTAGCCACTTATAATACTTTAATTGGCAACCAAAATAATCATAATTCTCATAGCTCAACAGAATCACATAAATGCCTTGAAGACAAGCTTTACTCCAAAAAGTATGCAAAGAAAAGAAGTAAAAAAATTATACTATCCTTTCAATATGTACATCAAACGAAAAATTATCAAAACATCGCTATTTAATTTATATCATATAAAATATGCTATCGCACAGAACTCTTAGCTAATATTGAATGGGGATGAATATAAATGGTTAATTGAGGTGCTTAAAATCATGAGATGACACTATATTTTGGCATACTGTACTCATGGTAACCTCTCAGCAACTCTCGTCTAGAGAACCAATTCTATATATCAGTGTATCACTAACACAATTAGCATTCATAATTTAGCTATCTGCTAACAAATGATCAGAATATGCGAGGAGGTTTTACCTTTATTATTTGGTCATGTCTTCTGATTTTCCCTGAGTAACTGGCTAAACCGTTTGGAAGAACGTCTTTCACGTAAATTCCGGTCACAGCTGCACGAAAATTTTATTCAATAACATATATTGTACAAAATAAATAAATTGTACTTACCCTTATCCTTATTCTTTTCTGATACATAACCTACTATTGTCAATCCCAAACCACAATTCTGCGGCATCAAAGGCTTTTTAAGAATAACAGAAAACTCCACACAGTCATCTTCTGAATCATTCCATTTATTTGACTCCGTCTTAATAAAGGGTGAAGTGATTGTTGACTCCGATAAAAGTTCTTTCGTATCTGTTTCGGGAGGTAGAGGTGGCGGCGTCGACTGAGATATATGTGGAGGTTGGATAGTGCCAATTTCATTGGAATCTAATTCGAATGGTTTGGATGAAGTTGGGAGAAGTGGGGTCATTGGTAGCATAAGATCTGAAATGCTTTCTATGGATTCATCCAGTGATTCAGTCGGGACAATACTAAAATTAAAAAATGCTACTTAAATCATTTGAACAGGGAGTTCAATATCGTCTGAGCCTATATCATCATCTAGGAAAGAAGCAATGATTGAAACACGAATAAATTCACTATTTTAAGAGTTTCTAGCAGTAATCGCTCGGCTTTTGTTTTCTCAAACTAATCTACTTGTGTTTCTAGTACCAACTTGATTTCACTCATTAATCATTGCTCATATTAGATATTTCAAAGGTTTAGCTTTTTGTAAAAATAGATGAAACTGCCCTCACTTAGATGTTGGCAATAAACATTATTTTTTTGATTCAAATAGAAAATTAGGGACCTAGCTTTTAACATGTTGAAAGCTAGTAATTGGGAATGGGGGATTTGGTGCATAAATTGAAAGAAAAAATGTAATTATGTTACACCTCCTTATTTGTTTTCCTTCTTTTCGAATCTCTTGTCTTCCATTATTTCATCTCAAGTGCCGAATTTTAACCGCTTATTGTTAAATCCATGAATTTCATTTTAAAAATACTAGCTTACTATACTGTCATTCACCTCACAAAGGAACACAAAATTCCCCGAAACCATAATAAAGAAGGCTTAATTATCTTGCCAGTAGACCAATTTACTTATTATTAGCAAATTATAGTCTTAATAGGAACAATTGTCATTTAATCAGAATACTCGTGAGCTAATTACGTTTGAATATGATAATCAATCAGGTTATTCGCGCAAAAAAAGGCGTATGTAATCCAACTTATATCAGAGTCGGACTTTATTTTAAAGTTAAAACTTGGAGCAACTCAAAAAAAAGGTACAGTAAGAATTTAGGCTAAAATTAGTCAAGAGTGTAAGCTGAAACTAATGCACTGTATGCCCTTAATTTGTCTAATAATAATAATCTCATCAATTCTCCATTTGTGAGGAATACTTGGAAACTGAAAATGTTTTTTTACAATGAATTCTATTAACGACAGGCTTGAGACCTTTTACTGTCCAGACACTAATATACAATAATTATTGTTTGAAACAAATGTTTTATCAGTAACAGACCCGGAGTACATATTAACCCTTCCGATCATATCCTATAAAATTTCCTTCTTCCATAAATATGAATAAACTACTTTTCGGAAATTTTCGTGCAGGAAATACAATAAAAAGTTGTTCCTAAATTTCTTTCTGCATTAACATTCCTATCTGTAAAAGTAAATTCTTGGGAATCGCGCTCCACTTTGTGTTATCTTCGGAACATTCATGATATTTCCAGGTAATTTCATCTAACAAGCACAAGACATCAACAAAAATGGCAGTTGAGAGTGGAGAAGGGAAGACAAATCTAAAGATATTGAAACGATATTCAATTGCGTCAGAAAAATTGAAAATGTATGGGCTCATTGGAGGATTCATTACAGCAATTTCATGCACGTTATTGTTAATATAAAGGGATGCAACAGAAAATCGCCAAGTTAAAAATGTCTAATAATTTTTAAACTCGCCCTTTCCCCTAGGCAGTACGTTTTTCACAACCCCCCCCACCCCCACTCCGAAAGTACCTGGATCTATTCTATAGTTGAAAACACTTTAAAGATGATAAGAATAGAATTCAGTTAAAAGATGGCATTTTGTCCACCTGACAAACGATGCTATCCACCGGACTGATAACGATCTTTGTTCTAATAACTGTGTGCCCTCATTTTGAGATGGAAGCTGAGTGACTTAGAGACAACATGCAGGACAAAAATATAAAAGCGATAGAGTTATGGGCTTTGTTTCATTCAATCACTACCATTTCATGTCATGTCATTAACTGATTGATTTGTTTCAGAACTGTTTACTGCTGAATATTTGGGTGCATTGATTTTCTCCTCAGTCTTTTCTACTGCAAAGAAAATTGGAGCCAAAGCACAAGATTTTACTATGCTCATCAAGACTATAGACAAGTTCATTTTCTTTACTAAAGAATGCAAAATATACCATCGCGTGTACACTTTACTCACAATAACCTTACTGAATAAACGTGTTCCGCGTTGTGTCTGTTTCCTCTATAGCTGGGCTGTAGCTTAGCTAGTTCTGGGAGTCTAGCTAGATGTAGGAGAATCTACCACAGAGATTTCTGAGTCAGTCAGGATTTACTAGTGTAGCAATCCGCTACAATACCATCGATTAAAAATTTTGTAGAAGTTCAGAAATCTGGTGCATCTTTCTTATTTGATTTCTTGGGTTATTTCTTGAAAATATCCATATTAACACAAATTTACTAAATACTCTTTAGGCGAGATATTTTTTGGCTCAAAACATGTCATCCTGTGGTCAACATAGTTCGCAGACAATTGTGTTACGAAATAAAAATTTAAGGACAGACTAGCACAGAACGCAAACCAAGAAATTATTGTTTTAGTACAAAAAAGTATCAAACCTTATTTTCTATGTATTAAATTAATGCTACATTGAATTCGAAATTTGCGTAGGCACAATTGATGGGCGCATTCGTTGCCTATATTGAACATTTTGTGTATAAAGACTTAATTAATTTAACTTAGGAGCATTGAAAGAACTCACGACAGGTCAAATGCAATTTGAAAACACTTAACACTAGAGAACATTGCTTAATTAAAGTTATTTAAGCCGTTTTTATGATTAAACTAGTTACTCTTTTACACTCCTGTAAGCTTAAATTTGCGTAAAACACATAAAGCAATGGCAATTAAACTCCCATATATGCATCCCTCGGACCCTGGAGGGCTAACTACGATGTTTATCATTTCCATTTTTTTAGGATTTAAAAATTATGGAAGCAACGCTAACTAACTGGTTATCACGGTAAAAAGCTATAAACGTGGTTCAAAGCAAAAAACAGAATACTTTCATTAAGCGGGTAACAAATCGAGGGCATTTTTCACCGCCACAAAATTCGCCAATGCCAACAGCATGATAACCAGAAAGAATTCGTTGCTTGGGCGTAATACGCAGATAACATTTGCCCACATTTATTTATTCCTTTGGTTATTTATTACAAAAACCACAAAACGGAATAAATAATAATGATAGTTGAAATTATCTGATAATGCGAAAGTACATAATTATCGCAACACTTATAACCTTTTAGCAATAAAATTGTTTAAATAATGGGACTTTCTTTAAAAAAGTTGCCGTCTATTATTCTTCATGGAATTTAAGATAATTTTGAAAATTTCAAAAAAAATGTCTAAGATTTATTTATTTGATTTAACCATTACAATTACAAGAACATTAACTTGCAGCAGAACGTTTTGGATGCAAAATTTGAAATGAAATTACTCAGGCATTATGTGCATAAATCCGAATATTTTAGTAAACAAACAGGCACAAAATATTTTTAAATCAAGAGATTTTATCAGAGTTGTGGCTGAAACTAAGAAATATATATAACTGCAACGGAGATACTATTAACATAAATATTTTAAATAAAAATAGCGAGTTAATTACCATAGTGGTCCGAGTGGTTGCCTAGTTCTTACGTGTTGGCTTTGTTTTTCAAAGACAGTGGCCAAAGTTGTCGGGCTACCTTGAGCAGATCGTGCGACCAATAGGCTTACAGATGGCGTGGTTGACATAATGGGTGAAGTAGTTGTAGTTGAGGTTGAACTTGTGCTTGAATTTGTTTCTGCTGATGCCCCTCGAAGGTTGTAATTAGCGATGGCGGTTTGACGAAGGATCCGAGCAACTTGATCGGGACTAAGACCTCGTGTAGAAACATCTCCAACCCGAAGTATTAGGTCACCGGGACGCAGATTACCACCCTAGTAAAAAATTAAACGTAATTAGAGCTTGTCTAGGAATTGAAGGGCTTAATTTTCAACTTGGTGCTTTCCTAAATCAAATTTAACTTTCATAAAGCTATTCCTTTCACTAATAATGAACTACTAAGCCAGAAACACGTAAGAAAGTAGTGACTAACCATTCGATCAGAAGTGAAAAATGGTAGTCCAATTCTATTACTAACTTCTTAAATCCGTCAAGAAGGTCAAGTGCATGCAAATACAGTCCAAATGAAAGAGAAGTCGGAGAAATGTGGTCTAGATCCCGGAGCCTGAACACTTGAACAGTTGATCAACCTTTGATGAAATTTTGCTTAAACTATTGATTGGGAAGATAAAAGGCTTTTATAGATTTCTCCTTTATTCCCAATATTTGAATTAATTCCTGTGATAATCATTTAAGTTTCGATTTCTGTTCTAAGAGATACTTTTATTCTTATTTGCTTAACTAAAATTTGCTAATTTTCAATGAATTAACAGATAAACAAAATTTGTCCATTTTTTTCTACAGATTATTTGGCAAGTTTCTTTAACTTTTTAACTTATTGTCAATGAGAAATGAATATGTAAGTAATTTCTTTGTAGCAAGTTCAGATTTGGCTTGAAAGATGAATTATACATTTTATTTATCGGCTTAAACTTTTATTTATTTTGTGATTAAAGACTTCTTTATTTATTGAATATATTCATTACGTTGGTGAGGATCTCTGGTTCATTTAATAGCAATACTAAGATAGACGAGATTAATTGCTCTTGTTGGTGAGGAAAAATGAAAATATCAAAGGAAGCGTAAATAACTTGGATCTTGGAATTAGAATATAGGATGAGCCATGCTTCATTTGAATCTCGAGTGCAGACTGCATTATTACACTTATCGTTGCCCGATTAACATACCAGAAATGCATTTGTTTAAAGTTTAAAATGTTGCTGTAAACCACACCGCGTGGACGGCATGGTTTACAATTTTCCATCGCCAGCCAAATTAGTATCACTGACAGCAAAAAAATTAATTGACGATGTGCTTTGCGTTTCCAGATTTTATTTCCTTATTAAATTAATGTTGATACTTAAAGGAGCATTTTAAATATTCCCTCCTAAAATGAAATTATAATGAAACTAATTCTATAATTCTTTTCTTATTTACATTAAATAATGAGAAAGGACTATTGTTTAATTCTGCAAATGCAATGATCAGATTGAAGAATTATAGAATAAAGAATTGTAATGTTTAATATAAACTAGATTATTATTTAACGGATTGGTTATAAAATACTTTTTTCTGGAAGCATGCGGCTTATACATTAAAGGAAAACAGCTAAATGTTCATAAAGAAGCTAATTTCTAACCTGTTAAATATTTCATGTTAGATAGTTACTAATAAGTCAAGTAAAATTTTAGACGATATTAAACCACAAGAATGAATTTGAATTTTTGCTCAAGTATCATGCCATATGGGAGTAACAATTCGTTTTTTAACAAATTGTATTAGAGAGTCAGTTCAGGTTTAAAAGACGAAGAACGTGTACTATTGAAATCGATCGGAATGGTATACTACTAGAACTGAGGCCGGTATGTGATAATAAAATATCTGCAAGTAATGTGCAAACAGATATTATTATTTGAATAAATAAATAAATAAACACGATGATAACCTACGAGGTCAGCGCTACCACCTGGAACAATGTTTCGTACAAGTACTCCAGTGGTTTTGTTCCCAAGTAGACCAAATCCGAGGCCGTTATTCAAATCGTTCTGGAGGCATATGAGTTCGACTTCAGACCATTCAGATTTGAGCTGAATTGCAAAGACCAAAAATATCAATAAATATAAGTCAAATATGCTTCTCGATATGTATAACTTAATGACTTTAACCTAACACAACTGAAATTAAAGTAATTTAGATTAGTTGCTTGAGATATTCCACATGACACATACATATATATACATATATATTCCAAATTTTGTCTAACGCCAAAAAAGTTATTGTTTTGTGTGATTGTAATTACTTCTTTCATTAGCAACTTCGAATCTAGACATTTTAACTTAAATTACTTAATTAGCATATATTTGGATGAACGATCTCGCTTCTTCTCTGGCTAAGAAGAAGAGAAGAAGAATGCGAGTCTTTTATATAAAAAAAGACTCCGGTACGAATTCCATTTATTTAAATCATGTGTTGATAACACATCCCAAAGAGAACCTGCGAACAACCAAGGAGTAAAGTGGAGCTTTAACTAGGCATTCAGAGTGATTAGCAAATTTGAAATCGTGTTATTTGTGGTGTCATTTTACTGATATTATAGGGAAATTTATCTAAAGTGCTTGAACAATTATCCGATTTAATAAACCAGTGGAAGAACTATACACCCAGCTAACTTAAATTTGCAGGAAATGAAAGCAAAAATATGAATCGGAGACCTAAATAACTTGAAATATTGGACTTCATCCAAGAAGCCAAAACACCTATGGTCCAAATCCAGGACTAGAATTTGCAGGATTCCTTTAACACTTAAGCTAATGCATCGGTTCAATTCGTTCTCAAAACCATATTGTACTGCTCATTGTCTTTTATATTCAGACGCTTTGAAGCGAAGGCTGATTATGTTTTTTTACCTTGCCGTAACTAATAATTTCAAAATCGATTTCTCCAATTGAATTAGAATGAACCACATTTACAAATTGTATATGGAGGCAAGTCGAAAGTTCGATTGCTTCTTTGAATCTACTTTGCA